AAATGTTCTCTATAGGTGAAAGATCTGGACTGCAGGCTGGCCATTTCAGTACCCGGATCCTTCTCCTACGTAGCCATGATGTTGTGATTGCTGCAGAATGTGGTCTGGCATTATCGTGTTGAAAAATGCAGGGTCTTCCCTGAAAGAGATGATGTCTAGATGGGAGCATATGTTGTTCTAGAACCTGAACATAGTTCTCTGCATTAATGGTGCCTTTCTAGACATGCAAGCTGCCCATGCCACAAGCGCTCATGCAACCCCATACCATCAGTGATGCAGGCTTCTGAACGGAGCGTTGATAACAACTTGGGCTATCCTTGTCCTCTCTGGTCCGGATGACATGGCGTCCCAGTGTTCCATAAAGAACTTCAAATCGTGACTCATCTGACCACAGAACAGTCTTCCATTTTGCCACACTCCATTTTAAATGACCCCTGGCCCAGTGCAAACGTCTGAGCTTGTGGAGCTTGCTTAGAAATGGCTTCCTCTTTGCACTGTAGAGTTTCAGCTGGCAACGGCGGATGGCACGGTGGATTGTGTTAACTGACAATGCTTTCTGGAAGTATTCCTGAGCCCATTCTGTTATTTCCTTGACAGTGGCATCCCTGTTTGAGGTGCAGTGACGTTTAAGGGCCCGGAGATCACGAGCATCTAGTAGAGTTTTGCAGCCTTGACCCTTACGCACAGCGATTGTTCCAGATTCTCTGAATCTTTTGATGATGTTATGCACGGTTGATGATGATAACTTAAAAGTCTTTGCTATTTCACGCTGGGTAACACCATTCTGGTATTGCTGCACTATCTTTCTGCGCAACAATGGTGGAATTGGTGATCCTCTTACCATCTTGGCTTCTGAGAGACACTGACACTCTGAGAAGTTCTTTTTATACCCAGTCATGTTGTCAATTGACCTAATTAGTGTTAATTGGTCTTCCAGCTGTTTGTTATATGCTCAGTTTCCTTTTTCCAGCCACTTATTGCTACTTGCCCCAACATTTTTGGGATTTGTTGACACTGTGAAATTTTGAATCAACATTTTTTTCCTTTAAAATGTTACATTTACTCAGATTAAACTTTTGATCTGTCATCTATGTTATATTACGAACAAAATATTGACATTTGCCCTCTCCACATCATTGCATTCAGTTTTTATTCACAATTTGTTTAGTGTCCCAACTTTTTTTGGAATCCGGTTTGTATATACACAACGCTGTTCTTGTATGACAACCCAGTGACAAGGATGCCTGCTTTGCCAGCACAACATTATGACATCACGTGCACCGTTGAGTCTAGATTTATGAAAGTTTACAAATTTGCACTGTTCAAGTGTTGTCATTGTGTTAGAGACTTTGGAACGAGTTACCTCTGCTTGTCAGACCGGCCCCCTCCCTCTCGGTTTTCAAGTCCCTTTTTTAAAAACCCACTACTATTCAGTAGCTTTCAACACCAGATGATCTGTGTTTTGAACCTGTACGCTCCACACTGGTTAGTCGTCATATTTATTATCTGCATCACTTTTATGTCGATATTCTGTTGTACCTCATTTTGTATATTGCTTTGTGTGTTACCTGTTGTTCTGTCTGTACAACACTTTGGTTGGCCTTGTCGTTGTTTTAAGTGCTCTATAAATAAAACGCTATGGTATGTTAGAGAGTAAATGTCATGAATAAATTTGACATTAAACATAATCCAAGTTGAAGTGTTACATCGTTTTCAGCCCCCTTTTGGCATCTGCATTTGGTATCAGGCCAAATTGACAAAGACCATGAAGAATAATGTAGTAATTTAATTCCACAGCAGAGAAAGCTATGTAGTCTCTGTAAGTAGATCTAGGACAAAAATATTGGTATTGGTATCGGTTATTGGCAAGATAAGTTTTAACATATTGGATATTGGCCAAAAGTCCAATATCGTGCATCCCTAGTTTACAGCAATTTTGCTCAACTATAAAACTATTTAAAAAACTTTTGAAGACTGTCAATGAGCTACTGCCTAAAATTCCAACATGTATCAGCTTTTTATTATAAAACCAAAAGTAAGTTAACTTTGTAATAATGTCAGCTGACAAAATGTCCATATGTTGATGTAGAAACTGCAAAGGAAATGTAAAAAAACAACAACTAAATTTTAAGATAATAGAGCCCGACTGATATGGAAGTTTTGCCTATCGCCGATACCGATATTGGGAGGGGACGGCTAATGCCGATAACCAATATAATTACTGAAAATGTTTGATCTTTGTCCTCCCCAAATAATCTACCAAAACAGCCTCTTTTAAACCCGTTTTAACACGGAGTCTTGAAACAGTCTTCTTAACGTGCGTTCACATTCTCCATCCTCCACTATTCACCATAAAATCATCCAGTGCAGTGTTTCCCCTTCCATTATACAAGCGGGGCGCCCCGCCCCTTCAACAGAACTGAGCACCACGCCTACTGAACCGAACAGCCCCACCCGTCGGCACTGACATAGTGCTAAGCTAGCGGCGCGTGATACAGGCGCGCTAGCAGTGCTCACGCTGCCTCTTCCCTCGTGCTGAACCACCCCTCCACCTCGCTCAAAAAGTGTGGGTACAAACTGCGTGCGGCTCAGACGTGCCCCCCCCCCCCCACCCACACACACACACACCCACACCCACACCCCTTCGTTGTCGACAAATATCACGGATGAGATGAGCGCCGCGTCATGGCAAGTTATCTAGGGGGAAACACTGAAGTGTGTTAAAATATAAATTAAACAAAGAAGCGTCCTTCCTGTTCATTCTTTAAACAGTCGCGTATGGTGAAGGTCTAATTGGTATTGACCTCAGCAGCAGAGAAGTAAAGCTTTCAGACAAACAATGAATTTCATTGAGGACGACAAAGATAACGTTAATAACATTGAAATATATTTTACCACTACGTTACATTTATTGTTCTGGATAAAGTTATACAAGGCAATTGCCTTTGCTAGGTTATCTAAACGTTAGCTTGCTAACTTGAGAGGCTCGTAGGTAATGACAAGTGGGTTGGAGAATTGAAGAAAATTTATTATTTAGTTTTACAGATCAGTTAAAATAAAATTGTGCTCTGTTCAGCAAAATATGCTACACAGTATTGCTCCCTGCTTCAGCTGTGCTGAAAGTGAAACTTAAAATGAACGGTCATGACTTGAATGTAGTCTTCATGCACCTTCTGTTGGATACATTGTACAAGTACTCTTTGCAAGCAAGGACATGACTTGTTCCCAGTGTTTATATCAGCGCATATTATATATAGTGGGACAGTTATCACAGATACAGATATGTCCCCAAGCGTCTATATTGGCCCTTCCGATATATCGGTCTGGCTCTACTATATACCATTTTAAAAGTTCCTGGACTGTAATCGCCAGAAGCGCCTGGTTGCTTCACATGTTAAAGCTTTATGTGTCTGCAGTGTTCAGTGCAGGAGGTACAAGTTAAAGACCCTACCTTCCAGTTTTCAAGACAAAGATCTGAGCTCAGACACCAGGACAGTCTAAGGGAGCCGAGGTTCTTACTTTCTGGGGTTGTTCAAGAAAAAAAGCATTTTCTTCAGTAGTGAGACACTGAGAAAGAAGGAAAAGATATCTACTGTTTGTTGTACAAACTGTATAAGGAGTGAAAAAAATTGTAGAAAAACAGAATTTGCTTAAACTTTGGAATATTTCGACAGCTCAAATGCTCCTGTGTGACGTCTTCACCCAAGTTGAACATCTGGTGATAAAATGTTTAGTCATCGCACTGAAGAGTAACGATGCTCAGTAATCCAGGTAGAAAATTAAGTCAGGTCCTCTGGATGGTTTATTTTTGTTGAAACGTTTTGTCTTTCATCCAAAAGACTTCCATCAGTCCAAGGAGCCACAACAAAAGACAACCATCTGCCCAAAAAGACTCCAGAAACCATCAGAGCACCATCAAACTGGTTGAACCGAACGAGAAGGCGCTGTTTATAAGACTGAGTTTGTTGTGGCTCCTTGGACTGATGAAGTCTTTTGGATGAAAGACGAAACCATTCAACAAAAAGAAACCGTCCAGAGGACCTGACTTAACTTGGTTGGAATAATAAGGATTATTGCTTACGCATTGAGGTCCTTATTGATATGTGGCTAACATGAAGAAAAGAAGATAGTTCTTTCTTGACATAGCTGCTTGTATCCTATGAACAAAATGGCTCCTAAAGAGCTTGTTAACATTTACCAAGAACTTTGATTGATGTGAATTCAAAGGTTTAGACCTCTGCAGCTGCACTCACCAAAGATTTTTATATAAAGGTTGCATACTTCGGTAAATTCATACGTCAACCCTCTCCTTTTCTTCTTAGCCTTATCCCTCTGTTTTATGTGTATGTGTGGGGGCTAATGGGAGTCCCCAGTATTTTACAAATGAAAACTATTTTATCTTTTAAAAATAGGACTGATATAGTTCATTTGGTACCTCAAACAGATACACACACTGACCAAAAAGTCAAGCAACCAGGACCAAAGCTCTTTCCTACATGTGGCGTGTGCCTTTTCAAAAGAGTGAAACAAAACTTGTTCAAAGAAATCCAAATATTTAGCAACATTACCTTGACGTAGTATCAGAGGAGAGTTATTATAACTTCCATTTATTTTCATTTATTCGCACAGCAAGCCAAACAGCTGGCCAGAGAAGACCAGCAGAGACTGCACCGGAACAGGAAGTTGGTCCTCATGGTGGATCTGGACCAGACGCTAATCCATACCACTGAGCAGCACTGCCAGCGCATGTCCAATAAGGTAGTTCCCACAGGAACTAATATAAATTTGAACTGTGAGGTGTTTTTAAGGCTTTAACCAAACAGTTTTATTAGAAACTTGTGACGTCAGTCTACGCAAAGTGTTTGATTCTGTCACGTGCACTGTTCATGTGTTTACACTCGTCTTAAGAGCTGATGGTCGTTTGGATGATTGTGCTTTGACTTCTTGTGTTTTAGTTACCACTCATGTTGTTCCCTTCAGGGCATTTTCCACTTCCAGCTCGGGCGAGGAGAGCCCATGCTGCATACACGGCTACGCCCACATTGCAAGGAGTTCCTGGAGAAAATTGCCAAACTCTACGAGTTGCACGTCTTCACGTTCGGGAGCCGCCTGTACGCTCACACCATCGCTGGTAATGGACTCGTGGGTTTACACTGTACAGAACATTTTAATATCCTAACGTGATGCATGATGTTAAATGAGTTTTAAAACATATGACTCAGTTCGAGCATTTTAATTATGTCACATCAGGATGTGGCTTGGAACTTGTACTTCCAGTTTGTGGCCAGAAGAGGGCATTGTCTCCTCTGTTGGTTTACAGCTGCACCCCCTCAAATTTTGTTATGTCCCAGTCTGATGCAGCTGCTGTTCAACTTTTGTCCCCGATATTCTGCTTTCAGTTCCTCAAAATGAAAAAACTGGAATTTGTACAGTTTTGTAAATGTATTTAAAAAATAAAACCCCTGAACACTCAGACACGTAGCAGTTGAAACACCTTGACAGCAACTGAAGGATTTGCTTCCATTTTTCTTTGCAAATCCTCTTAAGCTCAGTCTGGACAGATGAAAACTTTTGTAAAGCAATTCAGAGATCTGGAGATGTTTGACAAGCTCTGTGGGTCTGTCTGATCCTCTCCAGGTCATTCACTGAGTGGACCCTTAGCCCCTCCTGTGGGGTCTTCTGTGTGCTTTGGGTCATCGGCATGTTGGAACGCAAACCTTCGGTCCAGTCTGAGGTCCTAAGTCCTGTGGAACAGGTTTTATAGAGGAAATCTCTGTACTTGTCTCCATCCAGGTTTCCCTCAACCCTGACCAGTCTTCCAGTGCTTGGTGCTGAAAAACACCCTCACAGCGTGATGCTGCCACCACTGTGCTTCACTGTGGGGACGGTGCTGGGCAGGTGATGAATGTTGCCTGGTTTCCTCTAAATCTGGTTTCATCAGACCAGAGGTTCTGCTTCCTCATGACCTGCAGGTGGCTTTCCAGTGTTTTGCTCTGAGGCGTTCTGACATAAAGTCCAGATCAGTGAGGTCTGCAGTTCTGGACCTTATCCCTATCTTCACACAGGACCTCTGAGTCTCAGTCAGAGTGACCATCAGGCTCTTGGTCACTTCTCTCACTAAAGCCAGTCTCCTTCAGGTGATGATCTCTTGAAGGAGTCCTGGTTTTGTCAAACACCTTTTGTTTCTTTATTTTTACCATCATGGAGGTCTCTGTGTTTGTTGGAACTGAAAGATTGTTTCTGCCTCGCAGCAGTCCTGTCTCTGAGCTCTACAGACACTTATTTGACTCCATCCTTTGGTTTTTGCGCTAAATATCAGCTTGGAGACATTCTATCTGAATCATGTCCAATGAATTTAATTTATCACAGTTAGACTGTAGAAACGTCTCAGCGGATATTAAGAGAAACTGGAGGAACCGGACCTGAATTTCAATTGCTATTGCAAAACATCTGAGTAGTTGTTCAATAAAAAACAAGTTATTTATACATAAGTATATTTTATTTATAAAAAAATGCACAAAATTGTATAATTTTTTTCCGACTTTGTTATTATGGGTTACCGAGTGTAAGTTAATCGGGCTGCAACATAAAGTTACAAAAAGTGGACGAGGTCAGAACAGTTTCTAATCCTGCTGTATGTTGTGTTTGTAAAATGCTGAACTTTTGGTTGTATCTTATTTAAATGTTTTTTTTTAAGCTATAAAGGATTTCTTCATAATTTCCTTTGGTTATTTGTAGGGTTTCCTGTCGACTTCTGGCAGTATTTCATTCCTGCTCTCCTCCACAACGAACATTTCTCAGTTTTATGACTCAGGATTTGCTATGATGAGATATAGGCAGCATTTTATTATTGGTATTTATGCTGCCATCTTTCAGCATGGCATAAATAATAAGGACAGCCCCGTCCCGTACTGTTCCACCTCAACGTGATGAATGTTTAATGCATTTGAATTGGATTTTCCTGCAGACCTCTGCAGAGTTCAGCTTGTTTCAGAGCAGCTATTGTCACTCTGTGTTGTTGCAACTTGCCCTCAGGCATCGTAGAGCTCTCTGCAGTGTCTCATTACAAATGTTACAAACTACTTTTAGAAGAATTTCATTTGAAGGCAATATAAAGGTGATAGTCATGTCTTCAAAGAGCTGTTTGAATAGTTAAATACAATCTGCGTCAGGATGCCATTAGATAAGATGCTACTGCTAAATTAAAAATTAAATAGTCTTTTTTTTTTCTTTTCTTTAATTTCAGGCTTTTTGGATCCTGAAAAGAAGCTTTTCTCTCACCGAATCCTTTCCAGAGATGAATGCATCGATCCGTTCTCCAAGACGGGGAATCTTAGGTGAGAACTCTGCTGAAGATAAAGGATGGACCAACACTTCCATCTGTAATCTGATCCTGGTACTTTCTTGGATTCTGTTTTTATAGGATGTTTCCACCAAAACAGGATCATTTAGACTCTGCTTCATGTAACTGTTTTAGGTTCTGAATTCTCTTGTGCTGGGACGGGTCTACTGGCTGCAGCTAACACACGAACAGTTTCCTAATAGGGGTGTAACGGTATGCTAAAATCACATTTCGGTTCGGTTTCAGGGAGGGCCCGGTTTGGTTCATTTTTGGTACAAAAAACGCCAAAATGAAGACTTACAAAACTTTTATTTTGAAAATATGCCAAGTAAACATGTGTATAAAAAAAAAAATAAAAGCGACCCATTTGGATGATATTTTAAATAAAAAGCACTCTTTACAATAAATAAACTATACTAACAATAATGAAAATCTTAATAAATATGATAACTGTCTGAACCAGAACAATAAGCAGCAACAGACCGTTTACAATCTTAACTAATCAAATTTTAAGTTTTTGGCCAAAAAGACCAACTTGTCCACATTTTCTGCCAAAAGCTCAGCTCTAGTAGCAGTGAATGTCTCCAGTAGTGGAGAAAACTGCTCACTAACAACAGTAGCAGGAACAAAGAGGTAGAGCTTTGCTAATTTTGCAGTGTGGCTGTATTTGTCCTCATTACTCACAACCTCTTGGACCTGCTCCCACAGGAGGGACAGGTCCCTGGAAAAGTTCAGAGTTCACTCATCACAGACTTCTTAGCTGGAGGTGATCTCTGGAGGATTTCCCTGAAGAGGAAGAAGACTCAGCTGCTATCTCTGTCCCAGACTGGAAATAAAATACAAAGAGGTTAAAAAAAAGAGTTAATAAGATTATAATTTTAAATTAAAAAAGTTAATTAGATAATAATAATAAAATAACAATACCTGTTCTTGAACGGTCATCATTTCTGTTATGAGGTGGTTGAATCTCTCGTTCTCTCGCTCATCATCATCATCAGGGCAGGACTTTAATCTGGTCCAGGGCTTGTTGCCAATATCAGTTTTAGCTTTTTAATAAATTGCTGCTACTATTTTTTGGCTGAAGTGTTGACGTGACGTGATGTTGTAGCGGGGCTCAATAACTTTAAAGCCGGCACATCAACAACAGAAACATAGATCCAGAGCTTTAACAACTCCTACAGCTTGTGTTATTGCTCTGGACCGATCTGAATTACCTGATAAAGGCTGTTTAAATGCTGCTGTTATCGGTGTTTGCACCAACCAAGCTGCTGTTCTGTAGAAGAGACGTTCCTGTTCGGATGATGTCGTTTCAAGTGCGTTAACAAGTTAGACGTGTTGCCTGGTGCAGATACAATCTCCGTGAAAAAACGTTGACACAGCTTTGGATTTACACTCGTCTTTTAACAAGAATGCCATAATGTTCCCCAACAGGAGACCGCAACAAGATGCTAGGCTGCTAATTCTACGCGTGCTGCAAGACTATAGGGCCGTGCTGAAACGCGTTTAGGAACTTTAGTTCCGCAGCGCATCTCTCGTTAATAAAATTTTATGTGAAAAAAAACAACAGAAATGGTATGCACCGAACATGCCGTACTGAAACGGTTCAATACACCCACGTGTACCGTTACACCCCTAATGATTAATATATTTTTGTTTGGTGTGAAACATTGAGACGAAAAAGCACATGTGCTGATGTGTAGATGTCTTTGTAAATGGTTGTCCAACATGAGTACTGGTATCTGTAATTTTTTGTCATCAACATATCCCTACAGGCTTAACTAGCCTTTGAGGGTGTTTTACATGTATTTTTGTCTCATCTTTCACAAACAGGAATCTTTTCCCCTGCGGGGATTCGATGGTCTGTATCATCGATGACCGGGAGGATGTCTGGAAGTTTGCACCAAACCTCATCACTGTGAAGAAATACAACTACTTCCAGGGCACTGGGGACATCAACGCTCCACCAGGATCACAAGAGGCTCAAACGGCTCGGAAAGGTACTGCCAACCTGCACATCTCTGAAAATACAGTCCATTGAAAGCTGTGAATACACAAGTATTCACAGCTTTTTCCACATCTTGTTCTGTTACAGCCTTATTCCAAATTGTATTAAATTAATCTCTTTCCTCAAAATTCTGCAAACAATATTATATACCACATTATGCCAATGTGGTAAAAGAAGTAGTCCATCTGAAGCTTAACTGAATTTTTTACCTCTTTCAACCAGCCGGTCAGCGCGCAGTCAAATGGCTGGGTGCAGCTGGTGAATGTATGGCAAGCCATGTTGGCGTATAATTGGATCGCCGGCCACGTGCATCCCTGACGCAATAAAAAGCTCGACACCAACCTGGCCCGCACATTATTATGGCCAGGCCTGGTCCAAATCCAGGTCGTGCGGGGCCGGACTCTGGGTTTGGGTTAGAAATGACAGCTCTAGTAGCAATGGGCCCCTGATTCCATAGTCAGGGAGCACCTCCCACAGTGTACCTTAAGGAACACGGTTGAAAGCCTTCTCCAAGTCCACAAAACACATGTAGACTGGATGGGCAAACTCCCATGACCCCTTGAGGACACTAGTGAGGGTAAAGAGTTGGTCCCATGTTCCACAACCAGGACGAAACCTGCATTGTTCCCCCTGGATCTGAGGTTCGACCAACAATCGGACTCGCCTCTCCAGTACCCCTGAATAGACCTTACCAGGGAGGCTAAGGAGAGTGATGCCCCTATAATTGGAGCACACCCTCAGGTCCCCCTTTTTGAAGAGGGGACCACCACCCGAGTCTGCCAATCCAGTGGCGCTGCCCCTGGTGTCCACAAGATGTTGCAAAGACGTGTCAACCAAGACAGCCCCACAACATCCAGAGCCTTGAGGAAATCGGGGCGGATCTCTTTCATCCCCATAGCCCTGCCGCCATGGAGCTTTTTAACTACCTCGGCCACGGTTATGGACAGACCAACCCCAAAGTCACCCGACTCAGCTTCCTCCATAGAAGATGTGCCGGTGGGATTGAGAAGTATTCCTTCAACCTCCCGACAATATTGCTGGTTGAGGTCAACAGCACCCCATCTTCACTGAACACAGTGTTAGTAAAGTGCTGCTATCCCCTCCTCAGCCATCTAATGGTTTGCCTGAATCCACTCGGAGCTGACTGTGAGTCATTATCCAGGCTCTCACTGAACTCCTCCTTTATCCGAGCTTTTGCCTCAAAAACAGCGAAGGCTGTGGATCGTTTGGCCCTCCTGTACTCCTTAGCTGCCTCCAGAGTCCCACCAGCCAACAAGGACTGATAGGACTCCTTCTTCAGCTTGACAGCCTCCCTAACTCGGGATGTCCACCACGAGTTCGGGGATGGCCACAGCGAAAAGCACCGACAACCTTGCAGCCACAGCTCAAGGCAGCTACCTCAACAATTGAGACGCGGAACATGGTCCACTCGGACACATTGTCCACTGCCTCAGCCTTTAAACATAAAAACTAAGAAATTATTTTAAGCAGCACATCTCATTTGCTATGCCAATATTTCAAGTTCTTATGCATGCATGATACTTAAGAATTAAGATTTTAGCAAATGTTTGTGAAACCTGCTAAAATTTTCAAATATGTATAAAATAATAGGTGAGATTTGAAGTCAATAGATGGATAATTAGAGCTTTAGTTGTATTACAAGCCTTTTTATGAGGATTTACAGACAGAAAATGTCTTGTTGGCAGTGAGAGGAAACTAAAATTGTGAGATTGAGGCATAGAAGTCAATGTGATGCTCTGGCACAAGTTTCTTTGGTTGGTCGTACAACAATTCAGCTCAATTTATTCAGTGTGCAGCACTAGTTCATAACAAAAAGCCATCTCAGGGCACCTTAAAAAGAAACTCAACATTTCTCATTGAGTAAGCATTTTTCCACAGTTTAATTTGCTGCCGTTCCTTTCTGTGAGCTGATGTTCAGTGGACTGTTCGAGCGTGCACTGCCTCCTCAGATTATTTTGCTTTCCTGTCATTTCCATTTAACCCAACAGTTCCAAGTTGTACAGTACTATGAACAAACCTTTATTTATTTAATTGTTTCATCCCGTGTTGTCGACAGGTCATGTCTTTACATATTTCATGCTCAGTGTCCCTAACTGTGGACTCTGTGTACCCAAAGAAATCTGATGCACCTTAGAGGAATGTTCTGCTCTAAGATGTGTTTGCCAAGCTGAAATCTGTGCAGCACTTTATCTACATGTAACATGGTGAAACATTAGGGATGGTGTCACTACGAGGCTTTTAAATGCAGGGAAACGGTTCCTGAATGCATTTTTGTTACTTAATACGTAATGAAATAAATGAAGCATCGCCATCAGAGATAATAAAAATAAGGTGACTCCAAAAAATGTGGAATGCCCCTTTTGGGGTGGGGAGTATTTGCCTCAAGCAGAGGAGTTCAGGTCTTGTTCATATGTGATTCAGAGATACTACTCATTGATACAAGCAGCTGAAATGAGGAGGTTTGGACATCTAGTCAGAATGTCTGGAGGTTCTCCAGTCCTGCCCCATGTCAAGAAAATGCCACAGCAGACCCAAAACTTGCTGATAGGCCTGTCATGATAACAAATTTTGCTGGGCTATTAATTGTCTCAGAAATTATTGCGATAAACAATAATATTGTTTGAAATTTGACAATAATTAGTAATTGTCAAATTTAAGAAGACGTTTGTCAATTTGTTTTGCATGTAGTACCTTTTTTAGACCACCGGATGGCAGTATAAGACTGTTTGAACCAAATGATGGATAGTGAGGGAGCGAGGAGCAGTGTGTCTCTAAGAAAAATGGGAGGGAGGCCCCTTGACATGACATGGGCTCTCTCGCTTCGGTTCTCAAAATGGCGGACACTCGGTGTGGTTTGAGCTCTTCAGCGTAGCATTTTTCACACAAAGCTTTTAATTAAAAAATCAGTAAACAAGTTCTCCGCTTCTTTTTGCAGAGAAAAACAACTTTTTACATGATGGCACGGGTTTCAACCGTGAATTTTAGAGCTTCGACAAGACGGAGGTTTTCTCCTGAGGTCGGCCTGTTAGCTTAGCTCGTAGCTTAGCTGCATTTAGCGATCCAAAAACGCTGTTTTGGATGGTTAAAACAGATTTTAAAGAGAAAGGGAGGGGTCAGTGAAGAGCACCACAGTTGAGCCTTTTGTCATCCAGTGTTTTCAGTACTGAGAGAGAGATGGAGAAATGATAAAGCCGATAAATGAAAATGAGGTCGATAATTTTCATTTATCATACGATTGATTTATTATTTATTGTAACAAGCTTACTTGCTGAAGGTATTACTTATCCCCTTTTGGCGTGGGAATGCTATGGAGCTAGGGAGAAGGATGTCCGGGTTACCCTTCTGACTTTGATGCCTTGTCGCTTATCAGAGCTGTACCGGCTGACGCATTAACATCTTATCAGGACTCTGGTGCTATCTGGAAGTGTTTCATGGACAGATCTCACCGTCTTTTCGTTAAATGTATATGTAATGTGTTTATAAATGTGCTTGCTGGTAGATTTTTTTGATGTCTTAAATTGTGTCCTGACAAGGACAAGGTGTGAAGAGATCTTTTTTATTTTTTAATACCCACTGTCTCAATGGTCTTTGCCCGCTCCTAGGAGCTGCAGCCACGTACACTCTGCCCATCTTTCAGACGACTGTACGGAATATAATCTCGCTGTACTTCTGTTCAGTGATAATAAAAAAGCTTATTCTGATCAGATGACAAGTGTATGGTATCAATGGTTGGATGGTTCCATGAACATTTTTTGTCAAATATATACCTAATAAAACATTTGTTGCTACATATATTGATCTATGTATGGTTTTATAAATGAACAGACTCATTTTTAATCACTTTATAAGAAATACTTCTGATTGGGGGAGGGAATCTTTAGTCACTTGAGGGTTTGAGTACATTTCACTGGACTGTTGTACAATTATAAAACAATGGCTATGATACTTAAACCCTAAATAACTATGGCTTTTTTTACATGAAGTAATACTGATTTATACATTTTATTACCTAAAAAGTGTACATTAACATCCATCCATTATCTTTTACCCGCATCTTCCATTTTAGGTCACGGGGGGTCGCCGGTGTCCATGTCCAACAATCGCTGTGCGAGAGGCGGGGTACACCTTGGATGGGTCGCAAGTCCATCACAGGGACACATAGAGACAAACAAGACAAACAACCATTCACTCTCTCACTCACACCTAGAGACAATTTAGAGTTACCAATCAGCCTAACATGCATGTTTTTGGTCTGTGGGAGGAAACCGGAGAACCCGGAGAAAACCCACGCATGCACGAAGAGAACATGCAAACTCCACCCAGAAAGGCCTCCGGACAGGGATTTGAATCGGGGACCTGCTTGCTGAGAGGCAGCAGCTCTACCAGTTGCACCACCCTGCTGCCCTTACATTAACGTATATATATTAAAAAAAAAAAAAAAACTATACGCAGGCTGCTGACCAACAATTGGCATCAGTGCTAAGCTAACATTGAAAACGTCATAGTAAAGCTAACTCCATTTGCTTTGTGTTTATCACTGGAAATTTCTACATAAATGAAAAATTTCAAAGTCATTTCTTAGAATAGTCATGCTATGATTACAACTATTTGAGACATCTGTTCTTTAGGGTTCAGCAAAGAAATGATGTAAAAACACAGCTACTACGTGAAACTACAACCCTACTTGGACAAATGGCACCATGCAGCTCCCACTCTGCTCACACTTTTAAAGTGGCAGCACAGATTAACATAATCTGTTTTGACATTTGTAAACCACGATTTGACATATCTAAAAGTAATGTACCCCTCTGAGTCTGTTCATCAGTAGCAGGTCTGTGTTTTGACTTTGTCTTCCTTATATCCGATGCAATTTCTGTGTCTTGTTCCTGCAGGAGGCCCTTTAAGTCGGCCAGCCGAGAGCACAGAACAAGTAGGTGCTGATGAGCACAATAATGGCCTCAGGAAAAAAGCAAAGGACTGCAGTGTGGGAAAAGAAGAATCCGTCATACCTCAGCCTTCTCAGGTAGAACCAGTGACACAAAGTGACACAGGACACAATCACGGGTCAGAAGCTGGTCAGAAAGGGTCAGAGTCTGCGATGGAGTTGATGGAATCTCAGGTGGGGGTCGAAACAAACATTAAGGAAGACACTGATAACGGGACAGAAGCGGCACAGGAAGGTGCAAACTCTTCAGTGCCGAGCCGTGAGAACAATAACTTGGATTTTGACCTTTCTAGTGACAGTGACAATGACTCTACAACAGAAAAACCTCGCTCATTGAACAGTGGTGGTGAAGGCAAGTCATTGCAGACAAAGGAACCTGTAGTGGAACGAGAAGGACAAGAAACCACCGACAGGGATGCAGCTAAAGAAAAGGACAATAACGTTTCTTCTGAAGTAGAAAATAGTTGTGACGTGTCAGAACCTTCAGCTGTTGTCCCCTCTGACCCTGAGCTTGGAAATGGTTGTTTAGATCGGAGAGAACCAGAAACTGAATCCCAGAATAGTGAACAATCTGGAGTCACTGTGGGCGGAGAGCTGCTCGATCAGAGCATGGAAGACGAGGAGGAAGAAGACGAAGCAGATAATGACCAGGACGATCACCTCATATACCTGGAAGAAGTGCTGGAAAGGATCCACACTGAGTACTTTGCCCGCTATGAGACCTACCTGAGGAAGGAGACCTCTGAAATGCCAGACATTCGTAGGATTGTTCCCGAGCTGAAGAGCAAGACACTGGAGGGCACGATGCTAATGTTCAGTGGTCTTTATCCAACTAACTACCCCAAGGAGAGGACTCGGGAGTACTACCACGCCAAAGCACTGGGAGCCAAGGTGGGCAAGAATCTGATTCTAAACCCGCAAGACCCGAATCGGACAACCCATCTCATAGCAGCACGAGCAGGTATGTACAAACACACATACATGATTCAAACCAACAACACAGCGTAAGTGTACATCGTTAAAAATAACTCTAATCTTCAAATTTTCAAAGTGGCTTTTGCAAACACTATTTAAATCTTAACATTACTGTCAACTTCTTATTGCATATTTATTTTGGACAGAAATATTGCAATATTATTTTATTTGCCTTTGGGATTAATAAAGTAGTTTTGAATTGAATTGAATATTCCTGCTAAATGTGGCCGGTGGATGTCTCAGAACCACTACAAGTTTACTTCTATGTTTTTTTTTTTTTTTTTTGCTTGGAGGGAACCGTTAAATTTCTTGTAAATAACTGTAATTTAATATCCGTGTTGAGGAAGTAGCATGAAGCACAATGAAAAATAGAAGATTTAAATTTGTTTTAGTTCAGAAACTTTGAATTGTTTGGACTAACTGTTAGCACATGAACTCTATTTCTTTAAAGTGAACATGTTCTAAGAGCCGTTTCTAACAGGTAAAAATAATTTGTAACGTTTATACAGAAAACTTCTTTAAACTGGCCAAACTATTCAGTTAATGCAGGTTTATTATGGTCAAAAAGATTTGTAATCAGTAAAGTGATTTCTAATGAAAATTAGTTTTCTTGGTCAGTGAGTGAGTCTGGATCTACAGCCGGATTGGGAAACCTACATTAAAAAAGGAAACTGAAAGCCACACCTGAAGTAGTCACTGAATGAAATACGTTATTTTTATATACAAACCGGATTCCAAAAAAGTTGTGACACTAAACAAATTGTGAATAAAAACTGAATGCAATGATGTGGAGATGGCAAATGTCAATATTTTATTCGTAATATAACATAGATGACAGATGAAAAGTTTAATCTGAGTAAATGTAACATTTTAAAGGAAAAATATGTTGATTCAAAATTTCACAGTGTCAACAAATCCCCAAAAAGTTGGGACAAGTAGCAATAAGTGGCTGGAAAAAGGAAATTGAGCATATAACGAACAGCTGGAAGACCACTTGACACTAATTAGGTCAATTGACAACATGATTGGGTATAAAAAGAGCTTCTCAGAGTGTCAGTGTCTCTCAGAAGCCAAGATGGTAAGAGGATCACCAATTCCACCATTGTTGCGCAGAAAGATAGTGCAGCAATACCTGAATGGTGTTACCCAGCGTAAAATAGCAAAGACTTTTAAGTTATCATCATCAACCGTGCATAACATCATCAAAAGATTCAGAGAATCTGGAACAATCGCTGTGCGTAAGGGTCAAGGCCGTAAAACTCTACTGGATGCTCGTGATCTCCGGGCCCTTAAACGTCACTGCACCTCAAACAGGAATGCCACTGTCAAGGAAATAACAGAATGGGCTCAGGAATACTTCCAGAAAGCATTGTCAGTGAACACAATCCACCGTGCCATCCGCCGTTGCCAGCTGAAACTCTACAGTGCAAAGAGGAAGCCATTTCTAAGCAAGCTCCACAAGCTCAGACGTTTGCACTGGGCCAGGGGTCATTTAAAATGGAGTGTGGCAAAATGGAAGACTGTTCTGTGGTCAGATGAGTCACGATTTGAAGTTCTTTATGGAACACTGGGACGCCATGTCATCCGGACCAGAGAGGACAAGGATAGCCCAAGTTGTTATCAACGCTCCGTTCAGAAGCCTGCATCACTGATGGTATGGGGTTGCATGAGCGCTTGTGGCAAGGGCAGCTTGCATGTCTGGAAAGGCACCATTAATGCAGAGAACTATGTTCAGGTTCTAGAACAACATATGCTCCCATCTAGACATCATCTCTTTCAGGGAAGACCCTGCATTTTTCAACACGATAATGCCAGACCACATTCTGCAGCAATCACAACATCATGGCTACGTAGGAGAAGGATCCGGGTACTGAAATGGCCAGCCTGCAGTCCAGATCTTTCACCTATAGAGAACATTTTGTGCATCATAAAGAGGAAGGTGCGACAAAGAAGGCCCAAGACGATTGAACAGTTAGAGGCCTGTATTAGACATGAATGGGAGAGCATTCCTATTTCTAAACTTGAGAAACTGGTCTCCTCTGTCCCCAGACGTCTGTTGAGTGTTGTAAGAAGAAGGGGGGATGCCACACTGTGGTAAAAATGGACTTGTCCCAACTTTTTTGGGATTTGTTGACGCCATGAAATTTGGAAACAACAGATTTTTCCCTTAAAATGATACATTCTCTCAGTTTAAACTTTTGATCTGTGATTTGTGTTCTATTCTGAATAAAATATTAGATGTTGGCACCTCCACATCATTGCATTCAGTTTTTATTCACAATTTGTTTAGTGTCCCAACTTTTTTGGAATCCGGTTTGTATATCTTCAAGTATCATTAGCTAAACTTGTTTTAAAAATAATTTTCAGAGGTTTAATCACAGCTGAAAATGTTTCTGCACAAGAGTGGTCAAAATTAATTTTAAGAAAGTTTTAATTTCAGATCTTAGTGCTTTTATAACTCGTCTTAATGGAAACGTACCTAATCATGACTGTATTGTGTGAATGCTGCAGGCCATGCTTGTGTTTTAGTTTTTAAGTTCAGACCTCTTTTATCTGTGAGACTCAGATGAACACAGCAGTACAGATTTTTTACCCTAAATCGTGGATTTATGCTTTTTTACATCGGCCTAGTTTACGAAATGACAACCGAAGAGCAGAATGAAAAGCTACCGTTGCCTTGCAGCCAGCAGCACTTGGCTCTCAACGTAGGAATAACTTCAGTGAGAAATGGCTTTTCAAACTGTTGAAAATTATTGCCGCAAATTCTTTATTTTGCCAGAACAAGAAATTTGTCAGATCCTTATTGCGTGTACCGGATCTCACAAAGGTGACTGAATATTCTGTTGTAGATTTGAAGTTTTTATTACTTCTTGACTGAGAATCCAGCAGAGTCCAGGAAAAGTTAGAGAGGCCAGACTGAGATGTTTTGGACATGTCCAGAGGAGGGACAGTGGGTATATTGGTAGAAGGATGTTAGAAATGCAGCTGCCAGGAAAAAGACAGAGGAGAAATATGGATGTAGTTAGAGAGGACATGGAGGGAGGACAGAGTGCGATTGAGGAGGATGACTCTCTGTGGAGAACCCTGAAGTGGGAAAATCTGAATGAAGAAGAAAGAAGACAGAGAATCCAGCTGCAAATCTTGATTTTCAATCGTTTTCTGTTTCATTGGACCAGTTAGTCAGACTTCGCGTTTCACATGTCCAGTCGGTACAAGCCCACTTATTTAATCATAAAAAGACATTTTTGATTCTGTTAAAAATCATTTTAGTTTTAACAGCTTGTATTAGATATCAATGTTTTATTGATGACAGCCTGACAATAATTAGTTTTCATTGTGAAGTTTGGACTTATTGTTCGTGTATTTTTTCCATCACTAATGACCAGGAACAGAAAAGGTGCGTCAGGCTCAAGGCTGCAAGCATCTCAACGTGGTCAGCCCTGAGTGGCTGTGGAGCTGTCTGGAGCGCTGGGAGAGGGTGGAGGAACAGCTGTACCCTCTGAAGGAAGACAACTCCAAGACACCAAGGTATGGGAACTGGCCTCTTACCAATAATATCAAACACGTCAAACAAAACACTTTGAAATTATTCATAAACAACATTTGTGTTTGAAGAAGCAACAGCCCTGCTGCTTTTCTGGACAACCAGGGCTCCCTGCAGAAACAAGTTTTCCAGCCGGCTCCCGTCCACCCCAAACCTCCACCAGCAGCACCGGAGGTTCGAACCTATGACCCTGTGACAGGAAAGCTCATCCGCAGGGGCCCTCAGGTGTCGTGTCCGCCCCCTTACCTGCAGCACTCACTGTCTGATCCCAGAGATCCGTCTGCTCTAAGGTACTGCAACATGTTACTTGTAGTTATACTTTTACCATATTACTGATGATGAAGTGCAAAAATATTAAATGAACGTGCATGACCAGAAAAACTTTAGGTTACTGTTGTAACCCCGGTTCTCTGAGCAGCATGAGTGAGTGTCTCAAAATAATCCAGAGTAGCAATACTCCCGCTGTTTAAGCGAAACTCCGGAAAGCAGCAACGCTCCCCCTAACCTAGCCACACCTAGCTAGCTAGCTGTCACCAGCTACACGTAGCTTCACGGACAAATTTCTCTGGAGCATGGAGACCGTCAGAACTTCCACAAAGCCAGTGGCGAGCCCACAGGCACGGCCCTGTCCGTGTGACAACAAAATGTCAGGCTGGGACACCCACCCATCGTGTGTGGTGGGCCTCGGTTTGAATCACGCACAGACAACGCTCGAGTCTGCGGAGGAGTGCTCGCACTGCAGCCGGTTCTCCCTCAAGGCGCTCCGTTGCCGTCTGGCCCGTCAGTCGACATCGTCCTGCAGCGACACAGTGTTGGCTTTGACAGCTACCGAGCAGAACCCAGCTGACCTGCCGGGTTCGCAGGTCACTGAACCGGAAGCTGGAACTAGTTTGGTGACATGCACGATGGGTGGGTGTCCCAGCCTGAAATTTTGTTGCCACATGGGCACTGATGTACTACTGTATATAAAATTACCCCCAGTAGGACCATAGGAGTTTTTGAAGCTCAGGAATAAGAAGTCCTCAGACAGCCTTTTTATTAGAAGGAATGATGACACGATGGTTGGGGATACCCACCTGTAGTCCACAGCCCCTAAAAGAGAATTAAAGTTTGTGCTGTACATTTTTATAATCTTTATATTGACTCTATAATCATCTGCTGCCGTAATTGCTATAATTCCACCTTTTTTTCACAAGATGGTTTAACTTATTAACTCTGGAATCAAATTCCTTCAGATAATGATAGACCTTGAATTATAGTAAATATCATTAAAAGTTGAAGGTGTTCATTGTAAAACACGGAGTCAAACATTAAAAAATATCTCTAACCAGGTTGTGTCAGGTCCTCTGGACGGGTTCGTCTTTGTTGAAACGCTTCATCTTCTTTAGTCTGAGGAGCTGCAACAATCTCAGTCTTATAAATAGGACCTTCTCATAGTGGATCAACCAGCTGGCTGGTCCAGAAGAATCCATCCAGAGGACCTGACTCAACCTGATTTGATTTATCTACCTGGGTTATTGAGCATGCATCAGGACATAAATACTAGTTATTGTAAGCCATATCAAATGATCCAACGTTTTTCAGTCAGGTCATCTGGACAGTTGAAACGTTTCGCCTTTGATCTGGAAGGCTTCATCAAAAGACTATCAAATGATGCAGTTTAAAGTAATTTACTCAATTAGTTTTCCAGCTATATTTTTCATTCATTCATTTGATGTGCAATTCTAAAATGTGAGTTTACACTCTATGAAAACGATGTAGAATCCATCAAAAACCACATTAAGACACACGATTGACCCACATCAGGCTGGTCTGCGTACATAAACAGTTATGATGGAATCAGACGAGGTTAGAATCGAGAAGATGTTTAAGCGGAAATGGTTAAGTGTTGCTAAATGTGGAAGAAGAACAGATGGAGCGAAACGACTGTCAAGAATAAATACAGGTGATCAAGCAGAGCGGTGAGCTTGGCATTCAAACACAGCTCATCACAAAACTTTGGCTAGACTCATAGGTTTAGCTTTTCAACGTCAGTTGTCGAACTTCTCGTTCTCATGTGGCTCTTCCATGGACATCAGCTTTGTACACAAAGTGTTTAGACATTAAATTCTAACTAGAGAAATTGAATTGCCTGCAAAAAATCCGTGTGAATGCTTATTGCCGAAGAACTTGCTAAGAAAAAGCTGAAATTAGCTCAAAATTGGGAAATTAGCTAAAAAAAAAGCAGAATTTAGCAAAGAAATAGCTGAAAAGGCAGACAGAAGCTTAAACTACCAGAAGTAAGCAGAAAGAGCTGAAATGAGCTAAAAAAATTAAAAGTGGAATTATCCGAAAAGGCTAAAATAACTACTGGCAGCTGAATTAACTGAAACTAGCAACAGAAATAAGGTGAAAGTAGCGTAACAAGCTGAAATTAGCAGATAGAAGTTCATTAGGCGGAAAGTCTCTGAAATTACAACAAAAAACTTGAATTTCTCTGAAAACTGCTGAAATTAGCTAAAAAGGCAACTGAAAAGTTAGAAGCTTAAATTAGCAGAAGAAAGCAGAAAGAACACGTTTGCCCAATTGGGCTGAAAGAAGCAGAAATTAGCACAAAAAAGTGGAAAATAGCTGAAATTGAAGATAAATAAACAGCTAAAAAGTAGCTAAAAAGCTAAAAGTTGAAATTACAAAAGGAAGTGGAGAGAGCACATTTTTGTTGAATTAGGCTGAAAAAAGTTGAAATGAGTGCAAAACATGGAATTAGATGTAAAAGTTAAAAATTAGCACAAAAACAGCTGAAATAGTAGAAAAAGCTGAAAGGAGCATAACAAGCTAAAATTAGCAGAAAAAAGTTAGAAGAAGCACAAAAATGTAGCAGAATAAAGCAGAAAGGAGCACAATACAGATGAAAATAGCTGACAAAATGTTTACATTTGCACAAGGAAGCTGAAAGAAGCTGAAGCAGAACAAAATGTGAAAGGAGCAGTAAAAGGTTAAATGGACTGTACTTGTATAGCACCTTTCTATCTGATCAAGATACTCAAAGCGCTTTACGCTACAATCTGTGTCCTCATTTACCCATTCATACAGCACTCTACTAGATCTGTACAAAGTTAATTGAACAAATCATTCTAAAGAGACTAATCAGAGCTTTATCACATTCACCAATGGGACACACATTGGAGGCAATGAGGGGTTGAGTGTCTTGCCCAGGGACACTTCGGCATGTGACTGCTGGTGGATTCGAACCCCCAACTCTTGCATTGGAGGACGACTGCTCTAACCACTCAGCCACAGCCGCCCAAAGATTTTCAGGTTGGAAACGGGTCTAAAGATTTAAAGGATGTAAAATGAGCTCAGTTCATTTTCTATGAGAAAAAACAATGATAGTAAAGGCTAAATATTTCAAAAAGCTAAAGTTGCACCATTACCAAAAGTCATAGTCTTAAAAGTCCACCACCACCATCACAGACATTTACACCTTAAGATGTAGGGAGAGGACCACCTGCATCATGAAGAACCCCACTCACCCAGCACACACACTTTTTGCCCCGCTCCCCTCAGGCAGGAGGTTAAGGAGCATTAAGTGTAGAACCACTAGACTGAGGAACAGCTTCTACCCTGAAGCTGTTAGACTCATGAATCTCTAACCAGAATAATCACTGTGAAAAATCACAGGACGCTGCTGATCTGTTTCATGTTGCTGCTGATCTGTTTGATGTTGCTGCTGATCTGTTTTATGTTGCTGCTGATCTGTTTCATGTTGCTGCTGATCTGTTTCATGTTGATGTGTTCATGCGTGCTCATCTGCTCACAGACTCATGTTCATGTTGCTGTTTGACGTAATTTTTTATGCTTAGCATATTTTTAGTTAACATTTTTCTTAGTTCATATCTTAGATGTTATTACTGTTTTTCTTTGACATTTTATTGTTGGATGTAACTGGGACCCTGTGTACATAATTTCGTTCCATCACATGTACCACATGAGGTGCGAATGACAAATAAAGAAACTCTGACTCTGACTGACTTTGCAGGATTGTCCTGAAAGAGCTGAACATTTTGATTTATGATTTGTTGAAATAGCTTGAAAACTTCGGGGCGAGAACAACGCCGAAAAACATACAGAAGAAAAATGGATCACAATAGAGTGAATGCTTCATAAACATTCACACAATTACAACAGAACATATTAGAAAACGACAAAGCCATTGTCGCTGTAGCACTTATCACTTAACGGAGTTGTAGATTTTGACAAGCCAGGCGATGGGAAGAAAGCCCCATTTGTCCTCCCTCATGTCGTAAAAATGAGCTTAAGCACAAACTCACATAATCTACAAAGAAATATATCAACATAGTTTTATTTAAACTAAGCTAAAATGCAGATGTAGTCTCTCTCTCATTGCAGATGGTAGTTAGCAGTCTGACATTAATGTTTACCTCATTTCTAGCTTAGTGACAAAATAGTTGGTGTATTTACTGTATCTCTGTATACATACAACTTTGAATTGAAAGAGGACATGTCTTTGTTTTTAAATGACTGTACTCAACAGATTTTACAAAACAGTCACCTCAAGGTCCAGTCTTACTGATCCATTAGTCACAAGTTTCAGTCTAGAGCTGTCTTTGTTTGTATTTGCTGGTTCTTTGTGCGCCTCATGGACTCTGAATCATGACTGTGTTCAAGTTCCTCCAGATCAACACGTATAATTTGCTCCTCATGGCAATTTAAACTTCCTCCAAATCAAATCTATCTGCGATGATACTCTGTAATTAATAATCGCATTATTTTTTCACATATTAGAAACAGCGTATGGTTTATGGAGTTATATAAACATGACTTGATTCATCTGAAAAGGAAATGGCCTAAAAACAAAATGATTGCCTCTCATTTGCATAATCTACTGAGCTTTGAAGCCGGTTTATTCCTCATGGTTGGGCTCCAGCCTGAACCTCGGTGTATGTTCCTGTGGACTGTGGAAGTTGGTTATGTTCTGTTTGTAACTGAGTTCTGATCGCTGGCAGTACCGTAAAGATCACTGTGACACAAAGCTGGCCTGAAAACTCTAAATATCAAACTTGAGAGCACGTATTCAGTTGTACGCATAAAAAAACTGCTCAGAATAGCCCGTATAATTATTTTATTACTGTGCTTTAAAAGGGGCGGCTGTGGCTGAGTGGTTAGAGCAGTCATCCTCCAATGCAAGAGGTGGGGGTTTGATTCCAGCAGCAGTCACTTGCCGAAGTGTCCCTGAGAAAGACACTGAACCCCTCATTGCCTCCGATGTGTGTCCCCTCACTGTATGAATTTGATAAAGCACTGATTAGTCTTTGTAGAGATCTAGTAGAGTGATGTATGAATGAGTAAATAAGGACACAGATTGTGTTGTAAAGAACTTTGAGTATCTTGATAAGATAGAAAGGAGCTATACAAGTACAGTCCATTTACCATTTATGTCAAACAGCTAGTTACAACAGAAGTATTTAGTCTATTGAATCAATGGCCAAACCATGCCAAATGTGTACCAGGGCCAAAAGAGTGCTTTCATAGCATTTTTTTTTCCCTTCATCTTTGTTTTTGTCTGTTGTTGTTCTTCAGAGGAACTCCTCAAAGTCAGCAAACTGTGACGGCAGCATCCAGCCAGGTCGATGAGCAGCCGGGCCCTTCTCGTCGTAAACGGCAGCCGAGCATGTCCGAAACGATGCCTCTGTACACGCTGTGCAGGGAAGATCTAGAAAGCATGGACAAGGAGGTAAGAACGTTGACCATAACTGGGATGAAATATGAGGCTAATACAAGCTTAAAGAAACATGAGCGTATTAAGCCATGTCATTATTTATCTGCCTAAGCAAAGCTGTGTCTGTTATGTAGTGGGAGGAGAGGACATACTGTGGATCCAACAGTTCTAAAAGGCGACAAAAAACTATTGTCTTCACCACAACAAATCCAGACACTCCTTCTATAATCCTCTTTTTGTGTAATCTTGTCTCTTTTAAATTCCTTTAAAATGTGTTACTTAGCCATGCCAGCTTTAAGAGTTGGAACACAACATCATTCGTGTTTTGATCTGACCACTTAAATGGACGATTCTATTTATTATAGCTTTTCACGTTCTCGCAAAACTAGATTTTAAATAAACACATGAAGTATTAAAAGTAGAACCAAAGTCCATAAACTGCATCCTTACATATATGTTCTTTTGGCTCAGATGAGTAAGAGTTGGGTAGAGAGCTTTGATTACTGCGTCTTTTGTTGAACTGTTTTCTCAATAAGCAAATTGACGTTGGTCAAAGTCAGCAGAGACAGTAGATATTATGTGAGAGATGATGAGTCTCAAAACATTTAGTGATAATTGGGGTTAGAGCAACCTGACAGAAGTCATTTAGGCAGCTCACTGTGTTCTTGGGTAATCGGACAATGGGGGTTGACTTGAGGCAGGTCAGAGGTTGAAGATGGTGGTGTATACCTCTGCTAGCTGGTCTGCACAGGTATTAAGAATCCAGCTGGAGATAACATCTGGTCTGGGAGCTTTTCTCGCATTGACTCTGTACAGGGTGGCTCTGACCTGGTTCTGGCGCAGCTGGATGGCGGTGTCATCCTCTGGTGGTGTGTTCTGAGGCGTGGTGGTGGGGGTGAGCGGAGCACTACGTTTGTGTTGCACGCAGTTTGGAGTCTGAGCTGACATGCTAAGCTCCACTCTCTGTCCGGAAGTGGCGAAGCTGCGTGGGGGTGGGGGCTTCGCTCGTTTCTCTGGACAGAGCAGGGTGCCCTCCTTGAGTAATGGTAGGGGAAACACTGGAGAGATGTAGCTTCTCCATGGGTAGCTTTACATTAGCCTGCGGTGACATGTAAACAGCTATTATTGCCACTGATGTAAACTCTGTTATAACGTAGAACGGTGAACCATGGCAGAACCATTAATTTAATGTCCGGAGAGCAGTGAGTGCCTTTATTAGAGATATTAGTACACCATCTGTTGTCAGTGTAAGCACAAAGTCTTCCTCGTCTGCTCTTGGGGGGCCAAGATGGGGCAGAGGCAGGGCAGCCGACTCAGGACATGAAAGTCCCAGGTTCGATCCCCAGTCATTGCACATCTCGTGGTGTCTCTGAGCAGGACACCCTATCCCCAATTGCCCCCCGGATGCATTCAATAGCTGCCCACTGCTCCACCTTGGGGTGGATGGGTTAAATGCAGAGAGACAATTTCGCCATTGTATGGGGAACATACAATGATGACAACACATACACATTATTATTATTACCTGATCCTGTGGTCCCGTCTGCTCTAATGACAGCATGGACTGCTAGCTTGATGCTAGCATCGGGGATATTTTTGTCCAGCCAAGACTCTGTGGTGATCGAGTAATCCAGTCTGTGTAAGGTAATCTACACTCATAATTCATCCATTTTATTGTTTAGCTTAGCAATCAGGTGTTGGCTAGAAAAAGGCTTGGTATGGCTGGTTTGAAGGGGTTAGCGTTTAGCTGAGCTGCTAAACACCCCTTCTTGCCCCATTTCTGTTTTCTATTCCGCCACTCTGTGTGCTGCTTCATCAGTGTGAGAAAGATGTTCGGTCCCTCAGGATAGTCCCACATCTCTAGTGGAATAAAGTCCCAGTTCTCATAATTGGTTCATTTGATGCTTCAGTTAATGCCTGCAGATTGGCTTTGCTGTTCTGTAACTTTGTAGCCAGACAGGAGTATAATACAAACAAAATGGCTGCCAAAAGTTGAGGAGCTCTGGGCTGCTGCGTCTCTCCGTGCCACCATCTTGAAAACTAGGGGTTTTATTAGTGTTGCATGTGTCTGTGTGATAGACGATTCAATACACATCTAGATACAAAGGTTATGATTCGATTAAAGAATGATATATTTTAAAAACATAATGATTTGATACAATTTGATACAGTGTAAGAACGATACGATACGATTCAATTCGACTTTGGATTATACCTTTTAGCAATAGATGACAGCAGTGGCAAGACCTGTTGCTCTTTCCATCTCTGTAGTAGTTTTTTTTCAGGGGCAAAGGATCACTCTTTCTGTTTTCTTGACTTCTTCATTGGCCTGGTCCCTTACAGATCTATTTGCCATCCTTACTTCAAAGTCTTCTCCCAACAGCTGGTCCAGGGCTAACATTTTCTTCTTCTTACAAGGAGGTTTATCATCTGAAATAGAAAACAATTGCCAATGACGGAATCTTATATCTGGGCTCTAACGTATGAATCAAGTCCTGAAATCCTTCCCCCTCCACTATATTGTACAGACATGCTAAGCCCTTAGCAATAAAACGGGTTATTGATGCCGTTATCTCCTTAGCTCGTGATGAATTGTGGCCGAGTTGAAAATAAAATTTTGTGATAACGTTACCAGTCGCCCTCTGTGTGGCAGCTGCATGCTCCTGCTTGTTGTTATGGGGCTTGAGAAGTTCGCCATACTCCTCTGTGTTTTCTTGTTGCATGTTGATCAAGGTTTGTTGTGCTATCATTTTTCTTCAGAGATGCTCTGCATAGTTTACAAATAGCATGTTTTTTGTTGAGTTCTCCGTCCTTCTAAAATCTGAAAACGTTCCAAACTTTAATTTTTTGTCTGACTGATGTATTGAAAATTTTCCGCGGTGACTCGCTAGCACTGCTACTATTTTCATCCTTTCTCGTCTTCAGTCTTGGTGAGCTACGGAGCATGCATGAGAATAGCTTTGCGGGCATTCCCTGCTCTTGCGTTGTTTTAGAAACGTACTGTCAACCTATTGCTAGTCTCGCAATACCCGGTCCATGTCTCTTCAACCGGTTCATCTCAGGATTTGTGGCTGGTTGCCATCGATTTATACGGCTGCTACTGACGCAGCCATATCGATAGCTTGTCAAACCGGATATCTGGTTGTATTGGTTTATTTTTCACAACCCTAGTTTTTACACCCCTACATTCCAGGGAGGTGATTTCTGATCACACACATTAAAATGAATGTTTTTGGCAACTTATTATGATCTAACAGATGTGAAGTGAACACACTGAGACTCATTCAGAATCTCTGAGGTCTCCTTCAGCCTCTCTCTCTCTTTAAATTAAAAATGCTTCAAGCTATCCACTCAAATGCAAACCAAAACTGACCGTTGACCTTTGTAGCTCCCTTTGAATAATCTAATAAAGTGACAGCATTGAGATTTTTCTGTCATCAATAAAATATGTACGATAGAATATATTCATCATTAAAATGTTCAGGAGTGTTTATCTGAGTCTGTCAGACGTTGCCTCATCACATATAAACTTCACCCACATCACTGGTACAAAACAAATGTTACCCTTACTATTACTTTGATAATAAGTTTGAAAATTAAAGCAGCTTACTTTTCCTCAGTGGTGACCATTGTTGATGTTGAGCTCCCTCCTCGCCGCTAACACTCATCTTCTTCTACCAGCGGACTGCTGATGTGAAAGTTGAATGTCTCGCTGCCATGAAGTAGTATTCATAATGGGATATCAGAGCACTTTTATGAATACAAGTACACTGACACGGCATCAGAACTACAGATACTGATATTGTTGCATCCCTAGAACAGAAGATATTTAAAATCATTTGCACCAAAACAAAACAAGAATGGCTAATTTAGGTCAAAGTCATGGACAAAGAGATGAGATTACAAGGGAGAGGGATGAAAAACTAAATGGGTCATAATTTACATGTTTTAAACACTGTCTGGTGTCTTACAAATGTCCCCTCTAGGTATTTAATAAGCACCGCCCATATATGAACATCAGTCTAGAACGGGTGTCCGCACTTTTTCAACATGCGAGCTACTTTTAAAATGACCAAGTCCAAGTGATCTACCTACTATAAAACTATAAAATATATACAGGTACTTATTTATAAACATATTAAGTATTCTTTATTTGTTTTACGTCCTAGCTCTCTGTAGACGCAACATGAATGACAAAACGCAAAAGTTTGTTTTAAAAAAAAATGTGAAAATTTATTTTTACTGTCCGTGTACAGAATAATAAAACACAGCAATAACTTGCGTTGCAGTCAAATCGGTAAACACCATTAGAATAAAAATGCACAACTGGGCTGTGGCACTCACGTCTGTAGCCTTGTCCAATTGCAGTGAGAAACACTTGCAGTCAGCGATGTCCTTCCATAGTTGCTGGGTCTAATCCATGGCTTCACAGCGCCTTGTAACCATATATTTTTTTATACCTGGAGAGCTTGAATCAAAGGTAATATTTCTAATTTGTTTTTAAAGTCTCTGAACAAGTCAGCTGCTTCAACAAACGCCTCTTTTACCATCTCTCTTGAAAGAACTTCTTGTGGTTAACAATTAAATGACTCACCTGGAATGATGCTTCGGTAGCTGCCTTCACTTTTGTGGTTGGCTGTAAGAAAAATGACTGCTGTCCGAATAACTGGGGTTCCTTCACCTTTCCTTTCTCAGCTCGCTTTTTGGAAGGAAGTTGGTGTCGTAGTTTTTATGAATTGTCCAAAAATGCCGCTCCACATTTCCCTTCTTCGGAATAGCAATGGTACACTTGCAGGTGAGGCAACCGCACTTTGAATATGACATGATGAAAAAAAGGGTCCTCCTCCCATTCCATATGAAAATGGTAGTTTTTTTGCTTCTTACTTGGTCCAGCTCCCCTACTCATTTTACACACTGTCTTGAGTTTAGGCTAGAAGAAATAAACTGGAGGCTGTTACTTGGCAGCTCAGTAGTTTTTGGCGCAATTATATGCACATGCGTAGTGACCTATGTGT